GTATACCGTTCTACTCTGCTTTTTTCCTCACTAGGGCTGATTTGTCCAAGTTGACTTTATCTGACAGTTGGATAAAGGGAAGAACAGTAGAAAAATTCAGGGCTTTGAAAAGTATCTTACTGGCAGAGAGGTAGGTCATGGTGGCTTGTGTTGCTTCTAAAATCTTCATTTTTCCACTCTTAAGTTGGAGCGCCCATGCAGAACAAAAACAGGGGAGGACCTGCATAAAATGTATGCCTGTTGAGGTCAATATTCTACTCTATGTAGAGATGCAAATGTAGAAATATATAAATTGATGTCTTACCACAGCGGAGAAGACTGTGAACAGCAGTTTTTGACCTGCTTAGCCTACTATTTAGATATCAATGGTTAAAGATCGGCTTCACAAACCCTCTATACATTCGAGTAAAACAGTTTTCTTAGTCCTTCAAAATCCAGATAAATCCCTATACACTGTAAGAACGGTATGACACACACCAACCATTGTATGACAGACCTTTACTTGATAGCCTTGTAAAAACCAAAAAGTGTTCTGCTTATATACTGCCCCATAGTGCTTCAAGCACTCTCTGGGTGGTTTACAAGTTAATTATGCAGGCTACACATTGCTTCCCCAGCAAGCACGGTATTCATTTTACCAACGTTGGAAGGATAGAAGGCTGAATCAACCTTGAGCCAACTACAATGTCTCTATTAATGGTGCAAGTTAAATAGCACCATTGCAGTAGCCTTGGTGGTAAGGAAAATGAGAGGCTCTCCATTTTTGTAACTGGCAAATGGGGCCATGGAAAAGGTGGAAGACATTATGGCTCACTGCTAACTCAAACCATCACTAAAGCATATTAGGTGAATCTCTTTGCCAATCGAAGTGAAGTTTTTATGATCACTTACCATCAAGCGGCTTCTCCTGTTGCTACATTTAGATCATGGATCGCATTTATATTTAGCACATACCTTGTTGACTCTACCAATTCCCGATCAGAAGAGGGACACACGGGAAACAGATGATGCAAGTGTGACTGTTGCCATCTCAGGTTTGGAACATATTGGCTGTGATATGGCATCACTCTTGATCCTCCTTGAAGACACTGTATTGCTTGTCAAATGAACTGCACAGAACATGTGTTAAATTGTACTGTATTTTTGAACTTGCAGCTCCCAGGAAGCATCTCTCAGGACTGGATTCTGAAAGCTTGAGATATTTGCAGCATGAATTCATTGCAAAAAAAATGAAGAGCAGCAGGAAATGACTGCACAGACACAACACATCCTTTGCCATGGGATTTGTTTATTCATCTGGTGAAAGCAATTTGAAACTCAAATGTTATTATGTTTCATGTGAAAAGGCATATCAGACTGGAACAGCATAGCAAACAGTTTGCAAATGAAATATGATACCATATAGGGAATCCTTGAGGATGCTTCATTCGTGGATTGTGAAAGAAAGAGAGAAAGAGGAAATTTTGTTTGAGATGTTCTGGCGCACACCTAATGAACTCCACTCTGCTATAAAATTGGTGAATTTGAATTACTGTAATGGTTTCTGATTAATCAAGGAGGGATGCAAGGATTCCACCTAGCATGATCTTCAAGCAAAGCAAAACATGTGCTACTGTGCTGAGTGGTAAATGTCTTCTAATAATTAATCAAGATTTCTGTATCCTTAGTGTACATCACATAGATCTGCCCCCAATTTGTAATGCATGGATTGGTGAGGCCCAGACAATGGGATGATGCTAGTCCCTGAGAATGCATGAAGCAAAATAATCAGGATAACCTCTCACTTTTTATTAAGAATAAAAAAAATCTGAGTATACAGACTTGGTACCATTGCAAGCAGACTCAAAAGTACACATGCACATTCTCACTGTTTATTCCACTTATACACAAGTGGTCTTTTCAGGAAGGTGCACTTGCTTAGATGGAAGGTGTCAGTTAGAATGGCTTCAGAATAATAATAAAATAAAATTGAAACAACAGGTGGAGATCAACTCCATAAAGAACAACTCCACGAGGCAAGAGGACCTTTGCAATGGACTAATGTACTGTTCTCTGCCTTTGCTACAGACCACAAATATTGCAAACAGCAATGGCATGCAACTAATTATGCACACAAGCAGTGTAGGATGAAGAGCATTTTAGTGCAAGCTTGTTAAAAGAGAGAAAGTCCCTTTAGGGCAAATAATTTGCAGTGGTCAAAATGAGTCAAAAATCTTACAGTAATACCTGCGTGTTAATTGTGCAGACACCAACATTTTGATCTTAAGCTTCTTTGAGGAGAAAATTGCTTTGGAGGCTTTCCCTGGATCACGCCAAACTAAGTGTAGAGGTTACTGTAGTGGTTCTATAACAGCTTTACTCAAAGAAAGTTGCAGGTGATCTTTCATTTTGCCCTCAGTTTATTCCACCACCTTCCTCCCAACTCTGCCCAGAAGCTGGAGCAGGCAAGACCTGAACCATCTGTGAGACTCCTCAGTGATGGTCATTTGACTCTAAGAGTTTTTAGGTATGAAATATGAGAATAAGAAATATGACATATGTATTTGTGTAATCTAACAAATATCTTCAGGGTCTATCTAAGTAACATGTTCTTAAGGAAGAACTCCAAGCTGTAAGAGGCAAGTAACTGCTGCCTGAAATGTTGACGTTATGTCTCTTCTCTCTCCCCCTCAATGCCTAATCTGCTGGATGAAAGGTCCTGCTGTAGTTTCAGAGCTTTGATAAGTCTAGTTACAGGAACAGTCTGGTCAAACTTTCTCCTTCTGCTACATATTTTCCCATACTATACCGTGGCATAGAATATTAAGCCAATGTGAACACATAGGGTTCAGCAAACATTGGCTTACCTGAGTACCTAGACAAAACATGTTCCTGCATGCCCCTCATGGAACCTTCTCGCATTATTCAGACATCCAGACCCAAGACAACATGAGGACAAAAGGCCTTGGCCTTCTTCTGTGCCTGCAGCTGTGCCCAAGAGGAAGTGGACTGTTTCGCTTGAACAAAAGCAAATGAGAAATATGGTGTATATCTGTGCGTAATCGAACAAATACTCCTTATCAAAATACCTTCAGGATCTATAAATATTCAAATTTTTGCAAATCCTGCCAGTTCAATAACCACCAGACCTCATGGTAAGGATCTGCAGTGGAGAATCTAGAACAAATCTTGTGGTTTTAACTAAAGCAAGGATGGGGAATAGATGCTCCCCCATACATTGTTGGAGTGCAACACTAGTCCACCCCACCCTGCCACCGGCTGTGCTGGTTAGAGCGGATGGGAGTTGCCATCCAGCAACAACTGTGCAGCCGCACATCCCCGACATCTGGGTTAGGGAGACGGGACACAGTGGGATGCCGCTGCATCACGTCGCACTCATCAAAGCATTATGAGGAGAAATGGACAGAAGGATCTTGGAGTAGACAGAAGGATCTTGGCAGACTCTAGTTAGGTATTACATGAAGAAGCAGTAAAGGTGGAGCCTCTATATCTTCTTAAAATGCCTAGTTAAGCCTAAGCAGCCATTGATTTCAGACATGCAAGTATGCTCTTAACTCTTCTATTGTAATAACAGAAATTGCTTGCTTTGTCCCTCACAGTTTGATCTCTCCTGCTCATATTGACCACTTGTAGAATTCGATGTACCCATCAGAAAGAGGCAACTATACCAGGTGGCAGATGCTGGGCACAACAGTGACAGCCACCACACTTTTCCTCCCGGGTTCATCAGGTTTTTAAGGAAGAAAACGCTTCTGCCACTCTGGCCTGTCTTGAACAGCCTAAGATAACTTGCTGTCTCAGGCGTGGCGAAGGATGCCATTTCGTCAACTTCCAGTTCACTCAGCTTCTATGCACCATCTTGCTCTCTAACTCAGACAGCAAAGTGTGTTTGCTGTCTGAGTTAGAGTACCAAACACAGTACTGCAATACTGTTTATGTTACATTTGGGGGGGGGAGTTTGATTGGACAACACAGTTGTTTAGAACTTGGAGGTTCTAAACAATTGAAATGTGGAGGATATGTGGAGGAGAGATGGTTCATGCTGTTGGGGAGGACGAGCAGACAGGGCACGGAACAACAACTTGGCAAGCAGCAACAGTGAACAAGAAACTTTTCTTGGCAATATTCTGTGATGAGAAAAGAGTTTTAGCTATTTCATTTAGATACGTTGTGGAAGATGATATAAAGCTGGGGCAGGGCAATAGTATCCATCCAGTTTTTTGGACTACAACTCCCATAAGCTCTTATTAGTGGCCATGCTGGCTTCTGGGAGTTCAAGTTCAAAATATCTGGAGGAACAAATGTTCCACTTCTGGTGTTAAATTTGAGAAATAACAGCTGAAAGAAATCTGAGACCTAGAAGGGAAAGATATGGAGGGAGTGACAGATTTTACTTTCTTGGGGTCAATGATCACGGCAGATGGGGACAGCAGCCCCAAAATCAAAAGACACCTGCTTCTTGGGAGGAAAGCGATGACAAACCTAGAGAGCATCTTAAAAAGCAGAGACATCACCTTGCCAACAAAAGTCCGAATAGTCAAAGCTATGGTTTTCCCTGTACTATAGTGATGTACGGAAGTGAGAGCTGGACCATAAAGGTTGATCACTGAAGAACTGATGCAGAGGAGACTTTTGAGAGTGCCCTGGACTGCAAAGAGAACAAACCAATCCATTCAAAAGGAAATCAAGCCTGAGTGCTCACTGGAAGGACAGATCCTGAATCTGAGGCTCCAACACTTTGGCCATCTCATGAGAAGAGAAGACTCCCTGGAAAAGACCCTGATGTTAGGAAAATGTGAAGGCAGGGGGAGAAGGGGATGACAGAGGGCGAGATGGTTGGACAGTGCCATCCAAGCGACCAGCATGAATCTGACCAAACTCCGGGAGGCAGTGGAAGACAGGAAGGCCTGACGTGCTCTGGTCCATGGGGTCACGAAGAGTTGGACACGACTACATGACTAAACAACAACAAGAAATCATTACACTCATCACTCCTATTATTAATGCTAAAAAAGAAGTGTTTATTTAACTGTATTGCATTTGGTGGGGACTTCTTTGAACTCGAGTTGCATCTGTTTACTATAAATAAAATTCTGTGAATAAAACAAGGAAGCAAAATTTTTCTGGTGTCAACAAATGTCATTTTAGTACTTAGTTAAGGTTGGCAGTAAATTTAACTCAAGTACCAAGCAAAAATTTGACCAACAGTTTCAATTTTCACACTGAATTTTCAAGCAGGGCTTGAAAAGCTGATTTTGTTTGGATTACAGTTACCTAGGCAATGTGAATTGTAGCCATACAGGCTGGGGATCTTTTGGAGAGTTGTACTCCAAACAGCTACACTGCCAGACTATGGGATGACAACATGATGCAGGCTCGGAGCGATGAGTAGTGTGGCTCATCATTGGTAATGCCACAGCCATTTCCTCGTAGGTGCCAATAATGTGTAATATATAACCATACTCTAATCTAGGCTTGCAAATCTTGTGGCAGACCAAGCTTAAATTGGACCTGTTTGATCTTGTACTGTAAGTTGCCAGATGTTTGACAAACTCTTCCCATCCCTCACCAAATGCTTGCAGCCCCAAAGACAGAACAGTGAGTGAACAGATGAGTAGATTACTAAACACTTCTGGTGGCTTGTGAAGAAAGTCACACTGGCAAAGGAGGTGCTGGATAATATTGCAAATTGTAATAGCCCCACCCCCAGCAGCTCAAAAAATAACTACATTTATCTAGAAATCATATCTGCTGAGCTCCGAGCACCGGGAAAAATGCAAATCCCTGAAACTAAAGCCGTCTTGGATAAAGATTTCCGATCTCTGGACAACAAATGAACAACATATATATATATTTATTTATTGCACTGTAAACAGATTGCTTATTTCCTGGATTTGTTATTGGAATAACCTCCACAGGATGCATGTGCATGATGAATAAAATGATCAGAGTTCCCTGGGAATAATGGTAAATGGAATGACAGGGCTGCTGGATTCAAGGTCCAGAGCGGTAAGGAAGCATTCAACAGCAGCTTCGTTTTTGCCCTGAGCGTGAAGCACTTCCCCGAGACTATTCCAGGCTTTGTGGCTGGTGCTCTGTACCTGGACAGCATCCTGCAGAACCTTCTGAGCCAGGTTTCTTCGCCCAAGCCTGTTCAACACCAGCCCCTGTCATAGAGAAGGAACCCAGCATTAGCATACAATACATTGTCATCCTCTTGTGTACCTGGAAAAAAAAGGTAGAATATATGGAGCTTTTGGTCCATCTGCCAGTTTACAATCATTGACAGTTGCTGTGCCTGGAAATGTCATGGGATGGACCTGGAATCTTCTGCATGAAAACTGTGTCATATGAACAAACCATGGCTCTTAACTCCAACAGAAACACAGTGTGGTTTGAGAAGTTAGTTGCTTTAACTTTGAGCACAAGCAGGAACTTGAAAAATATTTTGAGTTCTCCCAATGAAGTCCAGTTCCTCAGTCTCTCATTCAAACTGTCCCTTGATACTTAATAATCTGACACAAACCTAAAATGAGGGATGGAATGTCTAGGAAGGAAAAACAAAATATCCCCCAGAGGTTTCTGTTAAGTACTTGTTTTTATGACTGATTGGGCAATGACTGAATTAAAGCAAATATCCATGTGATCTAATAGATTATATTCAGCAGTGACATTTCACAAGCCTAAAGGAAATTTGCACTGGGGTTCCCAGTATGGTGTATGGATACAGTGATGGACTAGGACTTTGGAGAAAGGGTTTGTATCCCCACTCAGCCATGGAAATTGACTGAAGAAGTAGAACTGGTAAATAACTCACTTACCTTGAAAACCCTGTTAGAGTTGCTATAAGTCAATTCTGACTTGACAGCATGTAACAACAATAACAAAAGAAGTCTGCAACCATGGGATATATGATGCTGACAACCAACATCTGTTATACCAGTTTCTGAAACGCTGCTGAACATGGAATAATCAAGTCCTGTTGCTTTGTTATGGAGGTGGAAGGTAAAAGGCATAACAATCACTTGTTTCTAGAAAACAATTAAGAAGTCCCTGCTGGCATTCTCATGTGTGTGCTAAAACAGTGTGTGCATGGGCCCTGAGAATCACTGTGATGGTTTGTTAATGGCCAGCTAGAAACCACCGAATGTTACACCTTTTGCCTTCCACCTGTGTAACGAAGCAACAGGATTTCAGCCATTAATTCCATGATATTTCTCTTGCTTTAAATTTTTCAGACCTCTGCTTAATGCATGAATAAGGTTGTGGCCCCTCCAGTCTAACTCCCAACAGCCCCAGCCATTATAGCCAACAACCAAGGATGATGAGAGCTGCAATTTTGCATATAGATTAACATATATTATTTTTTTCAAAGCCATGTCCTCTTGTTTTAGCATTGTGGGCCATCTTAGAAATGGTCCCCAACCTTGGGCCTCCAGATGTTCTTGGACTACAACTCCTAGAAGCCTTCTCTACCACCTCTGCTGGCCAGGATTTCTGGGAGTTGAAGTCCAAAACATCTGGAGGCCCAAGGTTGGGGACCACTAGCACATTTCTTCCAGCCAGCTTCACGTCCAATATTTTTCCCAGTCAAGACACCCTGCAAGATAGGCTGCAGTATTTAGAGCCAGTACCTTGTAGGAGAGTTCCTTTTATCTCGTTAGATCTGCATTAGAGACAGTTTTTTGCCATCCGTATGTTTAAACCTTACCAATGCATCATAACTGTACATGGAAACTACAATGAACAGTGATAGGAACCCCATGGAGGCAGACAGGTGTTTATGCACTTTTTGTTGAAGAAGAGAGTGGGGAGGAGGACAGTTTTACAAAACGCCAAGAGCCTCGTGCAAGAGCCGGGTGGAAGAATCACAGCCTCAAGAAATCTATTTTATTCTTGGTTTTTTAAAAGCAGCTACGTATTTCTGACTCTCTGAAGCTGGCATGACATATAGCGCTGAACACTTGGTTCCCTGAAGAATCTGCCCCTTGAGAGCTGCTGTGCTCTGACAAAATTTTATACATCCCCAACTGAGTCTAGCAAGTGGTAAACAATGCCTTCATGCTGTTGCCATGCGGAGGCAAGCTGGAATCTGCCCACGATGCAAAATGGAAAGGGGGGGAGGGGGAAGGAGGGAGAATAAAGAAGTATATTCATACATCTTCCTGCAAAAGGGCAATTTACATTTTTAGCTGGGGACTTCTTTTTTGGTAGGCTTCCTAATAAAAATTCACTCTCCCTGTTTCCATAGAAACTCCTCTTGTTGCGATGCACGAATAATTTCAAAAAATCAACAGAGATCTAAGGAAGATTACCAATTAGGACACTTTGTTTGTAAGAAAACAATTAACATCATCATCCTATTGCTATCTGAGACAAAACAACTGCTTTTCTGCCTTGGTGTTACATACGAGTTTTATTTATTTTCCTTTTATCATTATACAAGTCACAGAAGGCAAAGCCAGTCAGGACATTGAGGGAACATAGGAAACTACCTTACACTTAGTTTGACCATTTTGCCATCTAAAACACTCTTGGATACAGTGACTGGCAGCAGTGCTCTGAGGTTTTAGTCAGGATATTTTTCCAGGTATACCTGGAGATGCTGGGGACTGAAAGAGAGACCTTCTGCATGCACAGTATGAGCCTTGTATTCTGCTGTATTCATTACTGCCTTACTGTATATGGATCAAATGATTATTTTTCAACAGGATTATGAGACTAAACTAGGCATTCTTGACTTTGGCTATTCTTGAAAACAGAAAACATTACTTTAACATCTCAGAGGATAATTGTCTTGTGTTACTCATCTTACTGTTGCCAGGATGTTTAGGCTAACCAGCCCTTTAAAGATAATGAATAGTCTTAGTTAATATAGTTGTCATTTTCTGTATCAGATTTCATATGTCCCTCTAACTAGCAGGCAAATAAATCTGTGGCTTGGATACTGTACTTCATGCATCAGAACCATGGGCTACATCAACAAAAACTCATGCCAAATAAAACTTACTAATCTTAAAGGTGCCACAAGACTTTTTGCTGTTCACACTGAAAAATATATGCACAAAACGTTCAATATGATTTATTCTCAGGGAAGTGAGAGTGTGATCAGATGGGTGTTTAGCCTGCCCTTTGGACTGGTGCAGAGATGGGCTGGTGTGCCTATGGTTAGGATTTGACTACAGATCCAGAGACGGACCATATCTTACATTCAAAGACCAAACTCTTTAAGCAGGGATACAGTTGTCACCACAAGGTTGGTCAACAAATGATGAACTGGTCACAGCTCCTATGCCAAAAACAACAACACAAAAGAAAACAAAACAAAACACACACAAAATTACAATACAGCCTGTTTTATGTTTTCCCTTCTACCACCAGCCATGATAATGATGGTGCAACGGAGACAAAGGATCAAATACTGCTAAGATTTGTCTACTTGTAATAATTCAATGTTGGCATTATGGACAGACATGGACAAAAACTGGACAAAATAAGATGGTGTGCAATAGCTGCAATCTGTATTAGCAAAGAATCTACTTGCATAATTGAAATAATGTATCTGCAAGACAGAATTGCTCAATAACAAAAATGCAGACTTTCCTGTAAGGCTTGTGAGGCATTTCAAAGATTCTCTTTCTTGGACAACAACAGCTGTAATGCTAGAAAATCAAGCATCCCTGAATACATTACAGTGCGTTAAATAAATATATAAAAGATTATATAATAAGTTCTGACCAAACAAAATGTATTTGTGGCCTGATTCCCTTTATTCTTTGTTTCTATTAGTTGTTCTTCTCCTGAAGGCCTTGAAATGTGAAGTTAAGAGAAAGTGAGATTCTTGAGCAATTGCACAGCACAGAAACAATTTAGGTATCACCTCAACTCGCAGTAGCTTGCAAGCTGTCAGTCATTTAACCTTACATTCTCATCTTGATGCAAGGCAGGTCATGTGACATACTAGATCTCTGGCCTTGGAAGGCCTATTATAAAAAATACATGAAACAATAAAGCATAAAGTGGGCTGCCTGCTGCAGGACTCAGCAGGCATGTGCCAAGTGCAATGAATCAGGCACCACATGGTTTAATGTGTTACTTTGGAATGATGAGAGTCAGGTCCTGATGGGAGGAAAAGAAATGTTGCATTGAGCAAAGGCTCGGGGAATTTGTCTGCTTATATGCATGAGGTAGCTAAGGAAGAGACAAGATGGCCAGCAAAGGCCACTCCGTGTACGATAGGAAGGAAGTCCAGCTCTGTTATGATGGACCTGTCCACATTGTGAAATTCTGTATGATCTGACCAGTGCAATCTGTTTAAACTCAAGTATCCATCCCTGAAGGCTGAACAAATGGTTATTTTGCATCTTAGTGAATTATAGTAATACCTTGGTTTGCAAATGCCTCAGTTTATGTGATTTTCGGTTTATGAACCAAAACCCATAAGAAATAAAGCTCTGGTCTACGTTATTTTGTTTTCTTTTCTTCATACTACGAAAGAGTTTTCCCAGCGCGCACTGCGCCTATAGTGCCACCCCTTTCGTAGCACAATTGCCATTTCAGTTTGCGAAATTTCCGTACTACATAACGTCACGTAGAACGGATCTGTTTCGCAAACCAAAGTACTACTGTATCCCCAAAAGACTGCATGCCTTAGCCCTGTGCCAGAAAGATACGGGCCAACTCTTAAAGGGGAAGGATGGATCATTTTAAGTAGAAACACAAGTGGATGAGGTATTTTTTTTCCACCTCAAACAGGGCTATCAGGGAATCACATGCCATAACTATATGCCATGCGCCACAGTGGTTAAACTGCTGTACTACAGTCAAAACAGTGCTCACGACCTGGGGTTCAATCCCAGGTAGCCAGCTCAAAGTTGACTAAGCCCTCTATCCTACTGAGGTTGGTAAAATGAATACCCAGCTCACGAGGGGCGGGGGGAATGTGTGGCCTGCATAATTAACTTGTAAACCGCCCAGAGAGTGCTTGAAGTGCTATGGGGCAGTATATAAGCAGCACACTTTGCTTTTTGATTTGCTTTTTGTCAGTGTGGGCAGGGTCTTCCCGGTGGGTGACAAGCAGGTGAGAACTCCTATTGGCATTACTCACAGTGCTTAGTTGGGGGAGGGAGCAGTGTGCCTTTAAAAATCTGGCCTGCCCGCAGCTAGC